AAATTGGAAGGCCTAGAATAATAATAGAGATCAACGAAAGCATTTTTACAAAAGGCAAAAATGAAGTGTGTTGAATACTGAATGTCTATTAACCACAGTGACATGAGTTCCTTTAAAATTCCAGTGAAATGTTTGGTTTAGTTTATTAGATTACGGCAAAGCACTCGAGGACTAACTGCCTTAAGGGAGAAATGAATTCGTGGAGGAATTTTTAAGGGAAACTGGCTCGTATGCACGTTGCACATGGGAAAACCATGAAAACAGCTCGTGGAAAACCAGCATGGGGAAAACCAGTTCGTTCGCGGGATTCGAACCTCGGACCGAACTACCAGTGTTCAGCGACATTACCGCTCGGCCGCTGGTGGGCTCCAGAGGAATGATTGAAGCAACGTTTATAAACTCCCCTTTTCAAACTCCCCCTTTCTCCGCAAAATTTCCTGTTCCGATAGTAGCCAACTTCCATTGTAGACGGGATAGTACGTAAGTACCCAAATTCTAAAGGAATACATTCGAATGGGGAAAAAATCTCCGTATATGGTGCACATATATTTGTTTAAGATGAGACGGCGTGCTAGCAGATTTCTTCTTCGTGCAATTTGTGTTTCGAATAAAGAAGCGCTAAATTCTCGTTATCTCGTTCCATATACTTTTGCGATTTAGAAAATTTTTGTTTATAAAAGTACTGGGAGTTGTTTCTTCATATAAGTAAACATAACATCCTTATTTATTCCATACAAAGCTCACGATCTTGATATTTTTGTTCGATAACGTAGTATTACGGTACTTCTTTACTATAGCGTCTCTCAAGTTTGAATCTTCAATCAGCCGAGATATTTCGCCAAAAATCTGGCTGTGTGTTCTTATAATCCGAGATGTAATCGTATATTAGCACTGAGTTGCATTTTCTCTCTCACCGCGTGTTCTTTCTTAGTTCATTTTTGATGAAGTTTTGGACTTTGCATTGTTTATTTAAAAATAATTCATTTTTTAATATGACTTTAATTTACCAATTGCCATCTTTAATTTACCAAATAAGGAATTGGATGCCATATTATGTTTTCTGGAAAGAGGCTTTTAACCTGGCAAGCGAATATGCGAAAATGGTCACAAAATGAAACTTTAACGATAAAACTATTTGGAGGTGCAGTGTTAAAAACTGCAAAATAAAGAAGGATCTCCGTGTTTGGCAACTCGTTCAGCGGCTTCCCCAGAGTATAGTTTGTCACTGCCATGATTCTTGGGCAGAGCTGCTGACTTCCATGAAAAGGTTAATAGCTTAATATATGTGATCGTACTGCACCTGACTGAACAATTACAAGCGTTAAAATTATAATAATGAGAAGGATAAGGATTTTTAAAAATATTCTGATGAAACGACATGTGAAAATTATTGTTCTTATTATGTATTGTGTTCTTTATTTTTATATTCCCGTTTCATGAGCTTGGGGAAATAATAGCTCGGATTTTGAATCAAAACTAAAATCGCCAAAAATATTTGGGGGCAACTAAAGTAATGAAGAGCCCTATTTTCAGTATGGAGCGGTATTTTAAATACCGTTATTAAAAAAAAAATGATTACGATTACTTTCTGCTAGAAAATATTATTTACTCAGAAAGGACTCAAAATCACGCCTAATGACTAGAAGGGTAAAGAAACCTTAATTACGAAGCACAGGGACACAGGCAAATGACTGAGCTAAAGTAGACAACAGCAAACCTACATAACGTGTTACAATACTTAGTGATGAATGTGTGCGCGTAGTCATAGTTTAAGAGCTATAAAGTATAATTAACGGTAATAAAAGGAGATAAATAAATCCTGAATTCCCCTCCTCACAAATTATCGGAACACAGAAAACAAACCTCTTGAAATAGCTAAAAATCATTTCTTCTTGATTACATTCAGGCATTGTGGCAATCGAAACAGTCTTCCTATAGAAAGAGATGCCCTTGGCAAATGCGGTTTAAGAAAAACCGACTCATCTTCCCGCAAATCTTAAAGGAAACCAAAAATGTCAAATGAAGCCAGATCGGTCAATTGGATTTAATTTCGGGTCAAAATACCAGCGTTCAACCACTTTGTTTTTCGGCCAATTTTTGGCTGTAGATGATTGCAGTCTATAGGATAGTACATAAGTTCACCATTAGCATTAGATTTTATTTGGATGCAGAAACCACAATGCACGTGAAATACAGTTAACAATTTTGTAATCGATGTATATGTATGATGAGGTTAGAAACATCTTTTACAATGCTATAAAAGTTCATGCAAGTTATTGGTAAGAAGACAAAACATGATATTTTAATTTGTGAGTAAAACTCTGTGGTCGGAGGCGGGAGAAAAAAATAAAAGAAAAACAAACAATGTTTCAAATTTCACAGACATGTATAATTTATAATAAAGAATACCATACACATGTAGATTCTGAATCAACATTCAAAGTTGCGAACCAGCGGCCAAGCAATAACATCGCTGGTCACTTGTAGTTCGACGTGAGTTCAAATTCCCCTATGAACTAGTTGACTGCATGGGAATCTTCGTGATTTTGCTTATGTGCAACGCGATTATGAGCCAGATTCCCATAAAGTATCCTCCATGGAGGTTTTCCTCGGCTTAGATAGATAACCATCGGGTGTTCTGCCTTCATACAAACAATCCAAAGCTAACAACGCGCAAAATTTCAAATTACTATTTCCAAAGCCTAGAACCCAAGCCTCAAATTACAAAATCTTACTATTTTGAATTTTTAAAATCTATAATCGTATTCTCATGCTGCAAAAATTTAGATTAACAATGCATTTAGAACTCATGCTGATGATGACCTACTCATTTGTAAATATTTAAATCTAAGATTTTGTGTATTTTGATATTTTTTGGCAGGGCATCAAATATAATACTTGATAATTGTAGACGCCATTTTAAATTTAATGGTATTGCCCCCAAATTCAAAAGATAACCGCTCTAGAACGTGTCAAATATCCTGCCACAAAGAGCCACTCAGTTCATAAATTATAAGCGAATTCTATGCCACCATCATTTATCGACAATAATTACGTTGAAATTCACCCATCGAGCCGGATCCTCAAACACCACCCACAACTGTAAAATCTTTATTATTAATAACTAGATTATATTACCAATTCACGCGTTTATGAGGCAAATTGAACCGTGACTCAAATTCGCGCCCAATCAACCAGCGAAAGTAATGAAATTTATGCTCGACTCTTGACAGCTAGAGTTAATTATGGGCGCTTGCCCAGCTCTCGAAGAGAATTGCTATTTGTTGCTGACTTCAGGTATTGGCGATATTTTGCGCTGATTCAGTTTAAAAGTTGAATTCAGTTTATCATCAAATAGAAATCGAGCTTACTTTGCAATGGGGAGCTGGTGCCGTTAAATATAAATGCTTTGAATCTTGAATTGAAAGCAGCATTATTTTGGACTCACACTTCTATGTGAAGCAGGATGACCCACTTTCTAAAATATAGCCATACATTTTATACTGTGCATATATAAAGCAGTAATAATTTTATTAAAACTATTTCAGATAATTATTATTTTATTGTATCATATAAAAACATTTTAATTTTAAGTTTAAATTTGTATATTTGCTGCTTCTTGTTAAGTATACTTATCAGCTTATATGTTTAAAACTTCTAGATTTGTTCCCTTACATTTCACTTTAAAAAGATAAACCGTTAATTCTGTTCATTAGTGCGTACAAAAGAAGAATATTTTCATTGCCTGAGTATTTTCATCATTTCCCCCTTCATGAAAAATTTTATTTTGGGTTTATTTGTGCTGATTAAAGTTTATTTACAAAAATCTAAAATTAATCTGTTCTGCATTATATCATAGCGTGCGTTTCTAATGCTAAAAATGTAAAAAAAATAAATAAATAAATAAATAACTTTAAAGTTAGAATTTTGCATTCGAACACTTTTGGGGATGTTCAAAAGGTGATTTTGAAGATTTTGGTTTGTTATTACGGTTTTGGGAATAAGTTCACTTTTGAATTAAATTTTTATATTTGGCAACATTTTATTTCCTCTGTTTGTGTTTGCATTTCATTAAACCTATATTTTGAACAATTTGATTTTTTCAACTTTCTGTTACGAAAAGCTTTAACTTAAAGTATTACTAAAGTAATTTTTTGAAACTTCCCACAAATGTTTTATGAAACGTTGCGAATTAAATGGACTAAACCTTTAGGTTATGTATACATCTGAAATTTTTTCAGACAATTTTGTAAATGAAAAGAAAAAACTTTCTTGAAAAAGAGCTAGTCATGTACTCCAATAGGTATATTTAATAGACACAATTTTACATTGTCACTTAGATTTTTGTCATGTTAATTCCTTATACCTTGATAAATATAAGTGGCAAAAATAAAAGTAAAATATTAATAAATATTTTTGTGCGAACATATCTAGTAATCTTCAAATTTATCACATTTTTGACACAAAATATAAGAAAATCCAAATATTGTGCTTTGATAATATATTCTATCATTTTAAGTAGTATTTGTCTAAATAGCATCAATAATTGATTTCTTTGTACTATTTTTCAATATATGCGTATCGAACGTATTCGGATACTTTAACCAAAATATAATTATCCAAAACGTGACGTTTACCAACAGCGGAAGAAATTTTTAACTTCCCATATCATACTAGAAAACTTCTTATAGTACAATAACATTTTTTCCCAACTATTTAAACCGCTTACTGAAAATATTTGCTCTTCATTAGCTAACATTTAAAGCAACAGTTCATAGCTTTAGATCCACTCGCTTACCTATTTGCATAATCGCTTACGTATGTGTCATCTGTTAGTTGATGTTTTTTAATACTATATGCTCCATAATGAGTTTCAGTTTCTCAGAAATTGGTAACAACCTATTACATGCATTTTCTCCATTAATATATTCTTTCATTTTGTACATTTCTTTAGATTCTGTCATGCACTCTTCTGACATTGGTGCTTTTTTTTTTTCAAGGTATACCCACATACACTTTTCTTGCGGGTGAGAGAGCCGAGCTTCCTTGCGATTTGAATGTTAGCGCCACCGAAGACGAAGTATCCCTAGTGCTCTGGCACAGAGACGAGTCCGGCAGTCCTTTGTATAGTGTAGATGCTAGGGACACTCCTCTCTCAAGCGCAACTCACTTTCCTGCTGTCCACATGGAATCCAGAGCATTTTTCAATTCAACAGCTGCTCCAGCATTCTTAAAGATAGAGGAGATAAGGAAGGAGGATGAAGGGGTGTACAGATGTCGAGTGGAATACAGAAGAGCTAGAACTGAGACTATGGATATGATGCTTGCAGTAATCGGTAAGTCCGCTCTAGAAAAGCTCTTTAGAGTATAGTACTATTCAAAGTAAAAGTGAGCATTGAAACAAAATTTAAGAAAGTTTAATACGCAAAATTTCTACACTCAGAAATCTAATACATAGCATATTCAATATCCGACAGCATATTTATATCACAATTTGGTATTGAAGGAAAGAGCATGCATGATCTACGAAAATGAGATATATATATGCACTATTCGTTGGTTATGTGCCGTACATTATAGAGTTCTCCTTTGTTTCATATAATTTCTTGCATAGGACGAATATGTAGCATATGCATCGCATATATAGGACGAATATATGTCACACTAGTTCTTAAATTTTCGTTTTCATGAAATGTTTTGTACAGATTAAAGCATATCTAAATACAAAATAAGTATGATGATTAAGCCCTAAATCTACTAAAATGGAATACCAAAAATAAATTGGAGAGGCGGTAAATACGAATTATGCAATTCAAAAAATTTCGCTGTATACAACTGAAGACATATCTAGACTTGAGCAAAAAATACGATCCATGTTAATTTCTCTTCTCGCAAAGTTAAATATTACGATACAGGGTGAGAAAAAAATGAGATCCTTGTTAATTTCTCCTTTCAGCAAAGTTTAATATTACGATACAGGGTGAGCAAAAGATACGATCCATATTAATTTCTCTTTTCAGAAAATTTAAATATTATGATACAAGGTCTGGCCCTCTTAGACAGCATAAAGTCAGACCAGACCTCTAAAAGACAAGTAACGAATTCTCACTATGTCTTGTAAGTACCACAGAGACAGGAGAAGGGTGTAAAGGGACCTTATTAATCCAAATAATGTTTAACAGACGGCACCAACTCGTGCTTAGAATGCTGCCAATATTTATCGTTTCAAATCAAAGGTACTGGATGAACTAAAACTAATGAAACTTAATTATATCCTAAAAGCTTCACAGTATAACTAGAGCGCAAGTTGGTTCTGACTGAAGTCAGCGTAAACAAGCTTAATGGCAAGAAAAACTCAACGCCGCAAAATACTGATCGCTAGGGATCAAAGTTAGAATCTTGGCTTTCAAGCACATTTCAAGCAAACAGAATATGCTCTAATTTTACCCTCCAAAATCTTTCTTTAAATACTTCTCTCTTTCTACCTAATTTGAATATCGCGCTTGCTATAAATTTTCATTCTGGCTGCGAAATGGAAACGAGGGTTATGGAAAATGAAATTAACATAAAATAGCGAGTTAGAAATTTAAATGGTATTTTATTATGCTTCATTTCAATTTTGGTTAGAATAAGTGCTGATAAAATTTTAATAATAATTGTAATAAAGTAACAATGCTCTTTGCATGCATATTAAAAGTAATTCCTACTCCATCGTTTATTAAATCTTAATGTCAATTTTCACATTTAAAATGTTTCTTGCCTTATCATCGATAAAGAACATGCAAACTCTTAAACATATCATCTAATGCATCTTATGCTGTAAGCCTTTGAGAAAGTAAACTCCCAGAAATATTTATCTCAAGGAAAGGATAAGCTTTATTTTATTTATAGTTAATTCTGGGTTATATTTTCACCTTATAGAGGATTAGTAAAAATGGGATGATGAGTCAGTTTGACTGAAAGTTTCTTTATGGGCTATTATAATTAATAAAGCAATTTTTCTCGCATCTCGGGACGGTTAAAAGAATAAACCAAAGACATTTCTCTCTATATCATAAAGTATTCAGCAACTCGACATTTCTTAGCATAATATAATATATCATATAATATGCATGCAGTAATAAAGATTTCAAATTTGAATATTTTCGAAGTTTTATAGCACAATATCGAAATGCTAAGAGCCCGCAGACGATATGGAACACTTGCGTCTGCTTTTTGTATTACATGTCACCCAGCCTTTGAATCAAAATTTTTGTATAAAGCTTTGCTTTCTGCAGACTTTTGTATCACAGAAGAACCCAAGGGCTGAGTTTCTAAAAATGGCTTAGAACTGCCTGTGGAACCCATGCTCATTTCCCGCATTGCTATCACTTTAAATAGTTAAATAAAGCATTGCAACTTTTCATCTTTTTCAAAGTTTGTATACTATTCATTTACAAAGGTAAAATAGAAAACTGAATTATGTTTTCCATGTCTGTGGTTCACCAGCAGCCGAGCGATAAAATATGATAGTTCCGACTTGGGTTCGATTCAAGCTGTTGAACAAGCTGGCTGCATGGCTATTTTCGTGATTTTCGCCATATGTAACGTGTATACGAGTCAGTTTCCCTTACAAAATTTTTCACTAAGGCATCCCTTTCTTTAGACAGATAGCCCTAGTGAATCTTACCATAATCAACTAAACCAAACCAAATCAACTTCTATTGATATTAGCTGGTAAAATAGTTGTGTTTGTAATATTTTTATGTTCTACTGTCAATGAAATAGAAGTACTGCTTTATGAACTTTGATATTATTCTTACTCCAGTTTCAATTAACGAAATTATTATAATTACTAAAGTTTCAGAAGTTTAGGACCAGCGGCGGACGAGCGGTACAATCTGTGAACACAGGTAATTTGACATAGGTTCAAAACACTTCAAACGGTATCACCAAATGGGATATTTCATGATTTTTCTCATTAATAGCCATTTACCTCACAAAGCCCTCCATTTCCGTTTTAGATTTTTTCTGTCGTTGCTAGACTTTTAGAACACTTTCCTCAAAATATGTTTTAAAAATTTAACTAATTTAAATTTTAGTTCGGACCAATTAAAATGCACCATTTTTTCTCGCCTTATACTAGGCTAGAACTTGGAAACGCTGGACCATTTTTTTATCCTTATAATCCCATGATACATGACTGAAGTTTTGATTTTTGTCAGATTCATTATTTAATCAAAATGTGAATTTACTTTCAGATGAGTTATAAAATTTCAAAAGCATCCTTTTTTACTTGATGCGGCGATGATATTTTCTGTTATTTCCTCAATCGTAATTTCCTTTGAATTTTAATTTCTTATAGAGTCTCAGAATTGGGAATTTCCATTCGAATATTTTCTTGTAAAAAGTCAGAAAATTTGAAATATTTAGCTGAATAATCTTGAAGTAATGTTCAAATCACATTTTGTATACTATACCCCTAAAAAAGACACAGTGAAGAATTAGAAGTATCTCAATCTGTTCTTAATTTTTAGACTACTGTAAGTTCACGTAAAGTACAGTATTTTCAAATGAGCGACAGCAGTTTGTATTTAATAAAATGTAAATATATGAAATGTAACATTAACTAAAAACATTTTATTATATTTGACTTAAAATGGCAGACTGCGGCATTTCGAAAGCCGAAACATTGTGCTGATATTCTCTTGATCTAAGAGTGTTAGAAGAAATGCCTTCTTCAATGCCTTCTGTCAGGAACGACAAATCCTGACAGGAAGATATTGAAAATGAACCTTTCATATTTGAAAACGTTTTGTTTGTTTAATTTTGCCGATCAACGGGAATTCAGCTGTTGCCCTTAACTCAATACATTTCTTATTCAAGCTGCAGGGTCCAGTGTATTTTCCTCAAATCCGTTTAGAATTCACTGAAGTGCAGACTGCAATTTTAAGGGAAATCTAAGGACGCATTTTCTCAAAAGCATTGAAATCCTTCAAAGTAATTCAAAATACACAAAAGTGTAGAAAATATACTACGCACAAAATAGACGCAAATGCCGTTTCATCCACTAAAAAAGTATATCATGTTAAAATTTTGACATAAATCAATGTGAATAGAAACTGTAAATATAGAAACTATTTTCAATCTTTCTTTTTTATTTAAAGAAAACGAAAGCCTCGTGCAGCACAAAGTATTACACTAGGCTTACAAATCGTAATTTAAAAAAAAAAAAAAAAAAAAAAGCAAAATCGTGAGTAATAACATCAACTTTCAATAGCACAATGAAATCAAACACATAGAAATATATATATATCAAGACATTATTTACAGTGTTTAAAAAAAAAAAAGTCAACAAAGTCGTCAAAATCTCGTTAGGGTGAAGATGAAGATACAAAATCAACATTTCCGCTGCCAATGAAATTAATTTTAATATACATATCAATAGATTTCTGGCATTATTAAGCAATGGGCAATAAAAAAAAGCAGTAGAAAACACTTTGCGGAATACCAAGATTGCAATGACACAAATTGGAAGATTTCAGCTTAAACCATTCGAGATAAATTTTAAACTTATCATTTGGAGTGCAATTCGCAATCTATATTTGGTGAAGTTATATTTATATCAAATATATCTGACATAGATATATCAAATATATCTGACATAGATATATCAAATATATCTGACATAGATATATCAAATATATCTACATCAGATATATTTGGTATTTGAAAGATTTAAAAGAAATTAAATTTCATCTGAAATTTCTGTACTGGCACTCACATTCGTCACATCGCTGGCTATCGAAAATTCCATCTTTAAAGCATTTCAGGATTAATAATTTCTATAGAATGTTAGCAGTTTATTCTTTTAACTGCTATGCATTTCTTGACGAAAAGATGTATTTTTTAGGCCAAATTTATTGTTCAAGTTTGATAAACGTCCTTCTTAGTTAATGATTGAAATTTAAAAATATTTTTCATATTTATCCTTTAATAAGGTCATTCTTAGTTGCTCCCTCGGCACTTTTCCATAAGTAATGTTCGTTAAAATGATTTGTGTAAATTATCAATCAGTTTTCTAAACTTAAACCTCTTCCTTGAAATTGGCCATTAAAAGTAATAAGTTTAGCTTAAATCTGAGTTTATATCTATCTCAATTTCTAATTTTGCGTTTTATTCGTCATTTTCAAACTCATATAATTGTTCATACATTACAGTGATAAAATATATTATTTTATAATCCAATGAGCCACAGAGAATCTGATGCTGACTCTTATTGCTGATATATAGCAATAATACAATTTTCTATTTTCTAAACCAAAGCGTCTTACAGAACTTGAAGCTAAAAGTAATT